GAATTGCTTTACTAACTGTAAGTCGCTCTGGATAAGAGCGTCTGCTAAATGACTAAAATGTCAAATGTAAATGGAGGACTGGCTTGAGCTGTGAGGATTATCACACAATTTATTTTAATCATGAGCAAAATTGAATGGTTTTCTACCCAAAGTTGCAAAATAAATGTTGTGCTCTATTTAATAAACACTTAAGAGCCAAGCAAAATTGATAAAATAGTGTGGCGGTATAGCAGGAACAGCAGCATCTAGTGGTCAAAATATGGTACTTCGACACTTCTTTATTGTAAAAAAGTCCAGACTTAATTGACTAATTTCTCTGAACAAGGGGAACAATCTGAGATGGTGGATGTCATGTTTTGCCGAAATGAAATGGAATGACTCCTGAGTGACAAGGGAGGGAAAGGGGAATGAGAGGGGGTGAGTGGCAAACGAAAGAGAGGGGGAGAAAGAAATATGGGGTGAGTGCCAAAAGAGGGAGAGGTGGAAAAGGAGAAAGAGAGATTGGGTGAGTGTCAAAGGAAGGAGAGGGAGAGATGGGGTAAGAATGACAGAGTAAGAGCGGGAGATATGAAAGAGAGAGAATTAGAGAGGACAATGTTAAAGGGAGATGGATGGCAGGGGTGAGAAGGTAGAATAAATACGAGCGTAAAAATAGTAGTTCATAAATAGGAAGGAGCAAGACAGGAAGCAAAGCATAATACATAGCTCAGGGAAGATGGGGAAAAAGTGTAGGGGTGCCAAAACATAGGAGGGGTGACAGACCAGGAAAGAGTCGGAGGTGGGTGGCATAGGATGGGATGATCGTGAAATTGGATGAGAAGCAGGGGATCAGCAGTTTTAGAAAGCTCACAGGAAAAATAAATGAAAGTCAAGGAGCGAGGGAGAACGGAGGAGTGTGACAGGCTTGCTGCTGTTTCAGGGTTTCTTTCATCTCCCTGAGGTTTGACAGACAGTGCAAACGGCTGTGCTGCAAATTAGTCGGCTCACTGCCACAGAGTGGTGTGTGAGTGACAGTAGTGAAGTACAGGCGTGTGTGTGAAAAAATATATCCTAATTATGTATCAGTATCTCAATCCCATGTCAACACCAATTCAATGCTTTAACATTTGTGGGGAGTAGTGAAAGGGCGCACATTCCAGGAGGAACAAGAGATTACTGGGACACACAAAATGTGATATCTGATGACTAAGACTAAGTGTACAGGACGGATATCTAGGGATGAGGGAACTGAAGTTCAGATGGCATGTTGGTCCAGTGCAACAGTGTCACTTCAACTGAGTATTAACTTTAACTGAAGTAACTTTATAGAGCCCCACAGTGGAGGTGTCATAAAACCTAGCGGTCAAACAGGGAAGTGGTTCCAATAGTTTTTCCACCATACATTTTCCCCATTGGACATTTTAGAAACACTTAAAATAAGGGCTGTGTTTCGTGTAGGCTTACCCTGGCGTGACTTTTTGATAACCATGTAAATCTCTCTCGGACAAGGTGACTACATTATACAAATATTTTGGGTAGAGTGAAAGGTCAAAAAGTCAACTGACTGTATTGGGAAAGTTAGAGGCCAGGGCCCACATTCACCATTTACATAGTTAACATCAAAGCGGTGACCCGATCCTGCAGGTTCATGCTCTACAACATTCGCAGAGTACGACCCTACCTTACACAGAAAGCGGCACAGGTCCTAATCCAGGCACTTGTCATCTCCCGTCTGGATTACTGCAACTCGCTGTTGGCTGGGCTCCCTGCCTGTGCCATTAAACCCCTACAACTTATCCAGAACGCCGCAGCCCGTCTGGTGTTCGACCTTCCCAAGTTCTCTCATGTCACCCCGCTCCTCCGCACACTCCACTGGCTTGCAGTTGAGGCTCGCATCTACTACAAGACCATGGTGCTTGCCTACGGAGCTGTGAGGGGAACGGCACCTCCTTACCTTCAGGCTCTGATCAGACCCTACACCCAAACGAGGGCACTACGTTCATCCACCTCTGGCCTGCTAGCCCCCCTACCTCTACGGAAGCACAATTCCCGCTCAGCCCAGTCAAAGCTATTTGCTGCTCTGGCACCCCAATGGTGGAACAAGCTCCCCCACGACGCTAGGACAGCGGAGTCACTGACCACCTTCCGGAGACACTTGAAACCCTACCTCTTTAAGGAATACCTGGAATAGTATAAAGTAATCCTTCTACCCACCCCCCCATTATACAAATATTTGAACAGAATCCATGAGATACTGTGGTAGACTGCACAACAAGCCATTATGATCCAACTAGAATGTTAGCGGTTTTGCCCCCACCAGGTCCAAAATGACTGTTTGAAAATGCACTTGAACATACACCTTTTTGCCCTGTTACCTTCCGAGTTCAATGGTTTCATGCTCCATCAGAATACTGCGATTCAATATATACTGAAGAAAAATATAAAACGCAACATGTAACAATTTCAAATATCTTACTGAGTTACAGTTCAGATAAGGAAACCAGTCAATTGAAATAAATTCATTAGGTCCTAATCTATGGATTTCACATGACTGGGAATACAGATATGCATCTGTTGGTCACAGATACCTTTAAAAAAAAAAGTGGATCAGAAAACCATTCAGTATCTGGTGTGACCACCATTTGCCTCACGCAGCGCGACATCTCCTTCGCATAGAATTGATCAGGCTGTTGATTGTGACCTGTGGAATGTTGTCCCACTCCTCTTCAATGGCTGTGCGAAGTTGCTGGATATTGGCGGGAACTGGAACACGCTGTCGTACACATCCAGAGCATCCCAAACATGCTTAATGGGTGACATGTCTGGTGAGTATGCAGGCCATGGAAGAACTGGGACATTTTCAGCTTCCAGGAATTGTGTACAGATTCTTGCGACATGGCGCTGTGCATATCATGCTGAAACATGAGGTGATTGCGGCAAATTAATGGCACAACAATGGGCCTCAGGATCTCATCACGGTATCTCTGTACATTCAAATTTCCACCGATAAAATGCAATTGTGTTTGTTGTCCGTAGCTTAAGCCTGCCCATACCATAACCCCACCATGGGGCACTCTGTTCACAACGTTGACATCAGCAAACCGCTCGCCCACACGACACCATACAGGCTGTCTGCCGTCTGCACAGTAGAGTTGAAACTGGGATTCATCCGTGAAGGGCACACTTCTCCAGCATGCCATTGGCCATCGAAGGTGGGCATTTGCCCACTCAAGTCAGTTACAACGCCAAACTGCAGTCAGGTCAGGAACCTGTTGAGGACAACGAGCACGCAGATGAGCTTCCCTGAGACGGTTTCTGAGTTTGTGCAGAAATTCTTCTGTTGTGCAAACACACAGTTTCATCAGCTGTTCGGGTGGCTCGTCTCAGACCATCCCGCAGGTGAAGAAGCCGGAGGTGGAGGTCCTGGGCTGGCGTGGTTACACGTAGTCTGCGGTTTTGAGGCCGGTTGGACGTACTGACAAATTCTCTAAAACAACGTTGGAGGCAGCTTATGGTAGAGAAATTAACATTAAATTCTCTGGTAACAGCTCTGGTGGACATTCCTGTAGTCAGCATGCCAATTGCACGCTCCCTCAAAGCTTGAGACATCTGTGGCTTTGTGTTGTGTGACCAAACTGCACATTTTAGAGTGGCCTTTTATTGTGCCCAGCACAAGGTGCACCTGTGTAATGATCATGCTGTTTAATCAGATTCTTGATATGCCACACTTGTCAGATGGATGGATTATCTTGGCAAAGGAGAAATGCTCACTAACAGGGTTGTTAACAAATTTGTGCACCAGATTTGAGAGAAATAAGCGTTTTGTGCATATGGAAAATTTCAGGGATGTTGTATTACACACTTTAGATGTTGCGTTTATATTTTTGTTCAGTATTAGTTGTATGTAGTGTTCAGTACAAGGTCAACCTATCCCATTTATTTGCATATCACTGCCCTGGGTCTGGTTCACTCATTAGAATAATGTGTATTATTGCCTTGGTACCCATAATTTTTCCACTCCTTGTATCTTTGCTAATAGAATAGTGAATAAAGTCATGGAATGTATTTTTACCCTCTAATCATGACCACAGGAATTCCATCCTGCGGGGAAATATTTGTTTAATGGTTATGAGGGTTTTGCATCATCACTCCCTGATGACATCTGCAGGAGATTGATGCAACTGCCTTAGCCCTCCAGTGGGCCCACTAGAAATCCTAAAAGCTACAGTCTGGGATTTGGGAAGTTGTTCAATGGTTATTTCAATTATTATATCAAAAGAAAGTATCTAAAATATGTTGTTATACATGTGTATTAATGCTGTAATGGCACTACTAACATTGTATTACCACTTTGTTGTTATATATATATATATATAAAACTTGCTAGTAACAGAACTTTGATTGCACAGTAATCGAATAGAGACGTTTTTGTGATTAAACAAGATTATGGATCGATAACTCAAATTACTCATACTATAAAATATTATACCTGGAACTCGTCAACTAATAGTTAACTCTAAACAAATATGCAAAGGTGTACACAGATGAGACAAATCATTCAGCATTGAAATATTTATTTTAAGCTTGCCAAACGTCTATGCAAAACAAAACTAAAATTGGTAATGCATCTCAACACTAACCTGCCCATGACATGTTAAAAGAGGTATCAAAATTTAAAATGTACGATCTTCTGAATCCACATTTAAGACATTTAAACGCACAATAAGATGTTACAACCCTTGCTGAACTTTGTTAAAACAAAATATTTAAAAGATGTCATAGCTTTTTTAAACATGGTGCCATTCTACAGTCTTAACTCTTTTTACCCCCCCCCCCCCCCCCCCATCCCCCATCAGAAACAGAGCTGCAATCTTCTGTTTGGTGTTGCTAGAGTAAATAATTAATCTAAAATATATTCTAACTTAAAATACAACCATCACTAGCTCAAATAAACCATAGATTCTGCTGATATTGCAGTGCAGACAAACAGATACCATGAGTTGTTGGATACGGGTGGACTTTAAAGGGATAGTTCACCCAAATTAGGTGATGGTGCACTATCCCTTTAACTCCATAATGCCTCACCCTCCACCCACATCACAGTAGAAATTGGCATCACCAAGTCAAGGTAACAATATGGCTGAAGAACCCACTTGGATTTCAAATTTGAATCCTGCTGTATTGTCATTCTTGTACATATACTGATATGTACGTTAAAAAATTAAAACAGGTACACAGGTAGAGCTTCAGACCGTGTTTCAAAGAACTGCTTGATAATGGCCTTCTGCATAGAGCGCTGCCAGTCTTTGCAAATATGGCATGGACACCAAGGGAAGAGTTGCAGTCAAGCCTATGAAAAGGTACATTCTTAAACTTCTCATTTCATGTCAAAAGTGCTGCCACCAGCAATATTTGTGCTATTTATGGATAAAGGGCCTTGCATGCACAAGGGCGCAATGGCAGAAGATTGTACACCTGGAATCTGTACAGCAATCTGACAGCTAATCTCCCACTTTTCATTGCCTGGCCCGGGTTTTGAACCAGCAACCTTCAAATTATTGGTCTGTCTCTTTAATCCCCCAGGGGCGTCACTTTTGATTGGAAATGAAAGTTACAGGCTGGCCTTTCAAATGGACACACATTTGATTTGGATATTAAAGGGTTATAGGTTGCCAGTGAGGGCCGAGTCCATGAGGTCATCGTCCTCATTCCGCATGTAGACAGGACTGGGGCGGGAAGGGCGGTCCGAGCCCATCATAGAGAGAGATGTATCCGAGGCCGAAATGGGTGACCGTGACCAGCTGTCAGCCTTCATGGGGCCGTGCGAGACGGTCCCAGTTGACATGGACGATGACTTCTTCTTGTCTCTCTCTCTATCTTTGTCCCTCTCGCGTTCCCTCTCCTTCTGCTTCTTCTTCTCCTTCTTGTGCTTCTTGTGCTTCTCCCCAGAGCTGAGCGGCATGGAGCTCATGTAGTCCTGTGGGGGCAAGGGCCTCATGGCCTGGTCGTCGTCCGAGCTGGGGCTGTTCTGGTGGGATTTCTCTGCCACAGAGCTGCTGCCTGACTCGCTCTCGCTGTCGTGGTTGAGCGGCGTGTAGCCCGGCGAGCGGCTATGGCTGGGGGAAGAGCGGTCGTGCTTGGGCGTGGAGCCGCTGAACAGGGGTGAGGCTTTGAGACCGGAAAGCTGGGGGCGCATGGATTCCCCCGAGCCCTCTCCGGGCTTCTGCAGGGTCACCTTGGCCTTGATGCTGGGGGAGCCGCCGTCCGGCTTGCTGATAATGATCTTGGCCACCCCCGTGCTGCTCACGCCTCCAGTTTTGGGATCTATGAGCTTCTTGTCCCCGCTGGTGCCCACCGACACGGACACTTTGGACTTGCCCTCTTTCTCCGACTTGTCTCGTTTGATCGGGTACTCCCCGCCTTGAGAGGACATTCCGTGCTTGGAGGAGGGGCCGAGGTTTGGTGGCCCGCCCCCTGGTCCACCTCCACCGGTCCCACCGCTGCCAGCAACAGGCGGTTCTCCCTCGTCTTCAGGACCCCCTCCCCCGCCAACGCTCTTCAGCTTGTCTATGACGGCGGTCAGCGAGGGCTTCTTGTTGCGGCTGGGGGACTTTCCTTTGGCGTTGGGGTTGTTCGCGTTGTTCCCTTGTCCGCCACCACAACCACCCCCTCCGCCTCCCCCTCCTCCACTAGAGCCATACTGAGACTGGGAGCCTCCGGAAAAGGGCATGGAGCCAGAGGAAGAGGAGCTGGAGGAGGAGGTGGAAGACGAGGAGCCGGAAGAGGAACCACCACCGCCCAGATGCTTCTGAGAGCCCATCCCCCCGCTGGAGGACGACTTGGACCCTATCAAGCCACCGCCCCCTGAGCCCATGGGGGACTTGGCCTTGGAGGACGGGGGAGTTCCTGGGACTTGCGACTGCTGCATCTTCATGGTGGAAGAGAGCTTGTCGGAGCCACTGGGGCGAGAGTGCGAGGGGGAAATGTTGGGCTTGATGTTGGGATTCATGAGGGACCCGGGAGGCTTACCCCCCTGCGGCTTCATCTTGTTCCCACTCCCAACTCCGCCACCACTGCTTCCCGTCCCGGAGAGTCCATGTTTGGTGATGGGGGAAGAGCCTGGCTTTCCCACGCCCATTCCCTGAGAGGAACTCTTCATCTGGGGGGGTCCACCTCCAACACCCCCTCCCACGCTCCCAGGCTTGGAGCTGATGCCTTGGCCCAGAGTGCCCTCCTTGCTCTTGATCTTGCCTGAGGAAGACGAGGAGTGGGAATGATGGCTCTTGCTTCCGCTAGTGCTGCCTGCACCCCCCGTGCCACCACCCGCTGAACTGCTTGAGGTGTACCCGCCATGGGATGAGGTTTTCCCACCAGACAGTGTTCCTTTGGGAATCTGAATGGTGATCTTAGGGATGGGTGGTGTGGCACCTCCTGGTGGGGTTTGCGACCGCCCAGAGCTACCGGGAGACTTGGATCCTCCGCCAATGCTGCCTCCAGATCCCGAGCCTCCGCTGGGTGGGGTGTAGGGTCGCCCCCCTGAGCTGTGAGATGGGGACTTCCCGTCGGGATCAAGCTTTTTGCGTTTGGGGGGCTTGTCTTTGGACTTGCCTTCGCTGGAAGGGGTACGGCTTCGCTTCACCTGCTTCCCCTCAGTGGAGTTGCTGCCGGTCATCCCCATCCCTGCGCTGCGCCCACTCCCGCCCCCATTGTCATCCTTCGTCCTCATAAGTCCCTGCTGCTGCTGTTTGGCTTTGGCCTCGCCGCTCTTGAAGTCACAGCTCCCCCCTCCCATGGCCATCATGAGAGGGCTCTGGCCTCCCCCCATGTGGGATGAGTGCGAGTCCCCCAGATCCAGGGCCTGACCCAGCAGTGGCTTGCCCCCTCCGCTGCTGCCCCCGAACACCATGCCTGACATGTCGAAGGGGTCCTTGAGGGAGGGGTCGGGGGTGCTCTGGCCGTGCGGGGTGGGGTTCTGGGGGGTGCCCGATGGCGTGTTCTGCTGGCTGCTTCCGCCGAAGCCTTTGACCAGGTCCAGGTCTCCATCGGCGCTGGGTGAGCTGTCATCAAAGTAGGCCTGGGGGAAGCCGTTGCTGGAGGTCAGCAGCTCGGGGTTGAAGTCCACCGTGTCGGGGAAGAAGTTGGTGGACGAAGAGTCACTAGTGGGGGTGGTGGCAGTCGCCTCGGCGATCAGGTCGACGGCGTCCGTGAAGGGGTTTTCGTTGCTGTTGGCACTGAAGATGTCTGCCTCGAACACGGCGCTGCCCTGGCCCGAGCTGGATGAGTCCCGGTGCGGAGTGCCCAGGGGGCCCCCGTCCTCCCCGCTGCCCAGGTGGTGCTGCCCATGCGAGCCGCTGCCGCCTTTACCCGTCTGCTCGGGTAAGTCCGACAAGATCTCGTTTATGTCCGCGCCAATGCTGTCGGAGCTCGATAGGCGTACGATGCGAGGCAAGGATGATCCCGGAGGTGGTTGCTGCTGTTGCTGGGACTGGACGTGTGACTGCGAGTGGTAGGGCACTCCGGCGCCGGAAGGCGGGGTCCCGCACTGACTGGGCGCCGGAGTGATACTGTGGGGCGTGTCCAAGCCATCGCCGGGCAGGTTGACGTCGAAGATGGGATTCTGGGAGGCGTCCACGTCCATGGAGAAGAGCTCGCGGTGGAAGTCGTCCTCGGTGGGCTGGTGCTGGTGGTGGTGAGGCTGCATGGACCCCGACTGCTGCTTGTTCATCCCTCCCATCCCTCCTCCTCCTGCCCCAGGCACTCCTCCCTTCTCCATCCCTCTGGGGCGCTTCTTCTTGCCCTTGGTGCCACCTCCGGGGCAGGTGCCACCCATGCCATCAGTGCGTGGCGACCCAGAGGAAGAGTTCTGCCTCTCTAGGGGACTCGAGCCATAGAGGGCAGCAAAGTCCTGGGCGGGGTTGTCTTTCAGCAGGTTCATTAACATGGGGTGGTTCTTGGTGTTGGTGGCAGGGGAGGAGGTGGGAGGCGGAGTCTGGTGGGGTTGCGACCCGGAAGAGCTGTTCTGGGGGGTGGGGCTAGTGCCCACAGCGCCCGTGATCTGCAGCAAGCTGGTCAGAATGGGATTCTGGGTCACTTTGCTGAAGTCGTCCCCTGATTGACCCCCCTGCTGCTGCTGTCCAGCCGCCCCACCCTGGGGCGTACACTCTCCACCCTGGCTTTGGCTGCGACTTATCCCAAACAGAGATGTGATTGGGCCGGCATAGTTACCACCCCCGCTGTTCCCGGTGGGAGTGTTGCCTCCACCGACACCCGGGAGCCCCATGGGGTTGGTGGGGTCGACCCCCGTGCCCATGCCGTACCCAGGGCTTCCAGCAGGGGGTAAATTCTTCTTTACCATGATCTCCACCGTCTCGGCAATCAGGGAGAGGGCCGGCGTGTCCGCCTGGATGGTCTCCGCTTTCCGCCGGATGGCCCGCATGGTCACAGGGATGGACATGCACCTGAGGAAAATAATCAGAATGGGGATGGGGCGGACATAAAAAATAAAAATAAAACTTAATGTCATCATAGTCAAAATAAAGATTAATATTAAGTTGTCATTTATCTGACGTTTGCTTATTTTAACATCCATTATTTTCCCTTGAAGGTCACATGGCCTCAAAATTATTGTATTTTGTTTAATAAAGCGTGATATTGAATGAACCCATTTGGGTTGGTTGCTTTGGGGCAACAACAAGAAAGGCTGAGAACCATCTACTACAACATAAACAGATTGCGCGAAGGACACTTGAAACAGAGAAAATGGCCGCTCACCTCTGGACCACTTTGGTGATAAAATCGTCAGTGCAGATCAAGGCATCGGATAGGCCTTTGTACAGCTTACAGGACACCTGCCTGGAGTCAATCACCTCCATAACCACTGCAAGAGGGAGAGAGGAGGAGGTGGGAGAGGAGAGAGACAGAGAGAGATAGTTTATTTGACAAGGACAGTACACATTTTATCAACGTTTTAGGTTCAACATCAATGTAAAAGAGCTGGAGTTAATGTCAAAGCTCATTTTCGTCCATAGTCAAGAGTGAGTCAAAATGTCACACCAACAGGGCCTGAGTAGTTCTAAAGTCAATTCTGTTGTGAAGGTCATAGGACCGGTTAGAGGACTGGTGGACTGAAACACATCAGTTATGTCCATAGGGATACATTAAATTATGTTCTATTAAATTTGATGGTAATGTCAGTGTATGTCCTTACCACAGACTAGGGACTCGTTAACAGGGTGCTGGAAGGAGACGCTGAAGCTGGAGTCGGTCAGAGGACACACCTCAAACTGTAGCAGCCCTGGAGTGTCTGGTGGGGGATTACACAACAGGATATTACATCACTCAATAGCACAAGATCACATCTCATGTCAATTATCTCATGTCAATGATTATTTCTGTTTTTGTGGGTTGAATGCATCCATTTGTTTTGATCAGCATCAGTAATGACAGCTCAAACAATGCGCTGGCATGTACTGTATTATGTTGACTAGAGTAACAATATGATTTTGTATTTTGGTTGAGATGTTTGAGCTAGAAGACAGCCCTGCACACTGCAGTTCTCCAGGACCAGTGGTGTTCATTAGGGCACACAACAGAAAGGGCACGCAACAGGGAAAGTTTAAAAACGTTGAAAAAATGAAAATTAGCAGTTCCTATTGGACAAGTCCAGGCCCCTCCCTGTTTCCGTTTGTTTTCTTCCATTTGGTGCGTAATGAACACCCCAGGGTTGGTGACCACTCTGCGATATCATCAGAAGTTGACTACTACTACTACTACTAATAACAATACGCACCGTCCTTGATGAAGGTGCGCTTGACGCAGCTGCCGATCAGCGTGTTGGCGGCCGCCTGGTGCCTGATAACATCCAGTAGGGCGGGAACCTGGGCCGGGTGGCGGAAGGGGATCTTGGACACCAGCGTCCCCTGCAGCGAGCGCCCGTCCTGCACCGGGGCGTCGCCATTCAGGAAGTAGCAGTGCTGCTGGTCGGGCAACGACTGAGCAGAGGGAGAGGGAAAAAACTGAGGTAAGACGGAAAGCCCATAGAGATAGTTAGACGGATATAACCGGTTTTGGCATGGACACTGACACTGAGGGCTCCCACTATTTTAAAGTAGTCAACTAGGTGGGGATTCCTATGGGTTGGGAGCGATCAGCCAATGATCAGAGCATTGTCTTCATAAAATTTGGTTGCATGGTTTGCTAATGGCTTTAAGCTATATCACCGCCATCTAGTGGCCACAGTAAATGAATGAGATATGGTTCAGATCTCTAGCACTGCAGGTGGCGGTAAGTCACCAATATTAACTTTAACCCAAAAGAAGAAGAAAATGTACTACTTCTAAATGGAGATGGCCTCAACAGAGTACCACAGTATGAGTCATAATACCCATAAAACCTAGTGGTCAAACAGGGAAACGGTTCCAATCGTTATTCCAACATTCCCTTTTCCTATAGGGGATTTTAGAAACACTTAAAATAAGGGCTGTGTTCAGTGTAGGCTTACCCTGGTATGACGTTTTGATAACCATGTAAATCTCTATGACAAGGTGACAGAGCACTTATTTTAAGTGTTTCTAAAATCCCCTATAGGAAAAAGGAATGTTGGAATAACGATTGGAACCATTTACCTGTTTGACCGCTAGGTTTTATGGGTATTATGACACCTCCACTGTGGGGCTCTATAGCACTCCCTGTGCTCTCAAAGACGCAATAATAGGACAAATACAAAGACGAGTCCTTTAACTATGGGAGAGCCTTATTTATTTTCAAAGACAGAGCTGATTCAGTGTTTAAACGACCGATTTTCAATATACTGGTAAGCTCTTTGTGGTTGTGCCAAATTAAAAGAAAGATTGATAGTCCGTTTTTTCCACTTCAAATAAACTGTACTGCTATGTTTCACTTGTCTTGTTTGAGATGTTAGAAGAGGTATGTGTAGCTTACAACTCCGTTCATATAGGGTATTCTTTTTTTACTTGACTGAGTCAAACTTGACACTTTCTGGCCAATCAATGACATTCACAGGTCATATTGAGGATCAGGATGACGAGAAAAGCAGCATCACACACTGCAGCCCTCAAGAAGCAGTTGTGCACTCTTGTGCTAATGTGACTGAGCGCTTGATGTTACCTGACGATTCAAATTAATGAATCTATTCCCCTTCATTGCACTTGTGTAGATCTGAGAAGAGTGGATAGATGTAAGCAACAATTCATATTTCACCTAGCCTATCAGAGGGGAAAGTGGAGCTCTTATCATATTGCTTATACACACACACACACCTTTCCAATACCTTCAGATCTACACAAGGGCCTAGGAAGCAGGTCAAAGAGGGGGAGTGAGGGGACTGTGGGGGGCTACTCACAGCGTAGAAGCGCATGGCGTGTGTGGGGGTGGTCGGGGGGTTCCCCCCCTCCTCCTGGAGTTGACTCTGCACGATGAGCTCGTAGAGGGGCGACAGGGTGGGGGGTGTCTCAAACACAGGAATCCCTGGTAGGAGGGAGAGAGGGTTAACCGACACACACAGACGTGTGCGATAACACACCCACACACACAAAAACTAAAGTAACCAATGCAAACACACAAACCCATAGATACACACACACACCCTACCACACAGCCACACTAGGCTTGGGCTATATACCGTTTATAGGGGTATTTCGAAATACCGACGGTATGATTTCCAATACCGTTTCAATACTATTTATTTATATATTTTGGGGCGAGGGTGCGTGCTACACCACTGCTTATAACTATAAGAAATCTAAGATGTGTCAAATAAATTACAGTGCCTTCAGAAACTACACACCCCTTGACTTCTTCCACATTTTGTTGTGTTACAGCATGAATATACAATTTTTTAAATGTTGATTTTTTTCTCTCACTACACGCAATACCCCATAATATCAAAGTGGAATTATATTTTTTTAAACGTTTACTTATTAATAAAACATTTAAAGCTGAAATGCCTTGAGTCAATAAGCATTCAAACCCTTTGTTAAGGCAAATCTCAATAAGTTCAGGAGTCAAAATTTGCTTAACAAGTCGCATAATAAGTTGCATGGACTCACTCTGTGCAATAATAGTGTTTAACATGATTTTGTAATGACTACCTCATCTCTGTACCCTACACATACAATTATCTGTAAGGTCCAGGAAACAAACAAAACTGACATTGAATATCCCTTTGAGCAAGTTATTAATTACACTTTGGATGGCGTATCAATACACCCAGTCACTACAAAGATACAGGCGTCCTTCCTAACTCAGTAGCCGGAGAGGAAGGAAACCGCACAGAGATTTCACCATGAGGCCAATGGTGACTTTAAAAAAGTTGCAGAGTTTAATGGCTGCGATATGAGAAAATCGAGGATGGATCAACAACATTCTAGTTTGACCACAATACTAACCTAATTGACAGAGTGAAAAGAAGGAAGCCTGTACAGAATACAAATATTTCAAAACAGGCACCCAGTTTGCAACAGGGCACTAAAGTAATACTGCAAAGAATGTGCCAAAGCAATTAACTTTTTTGTCCAAGTGTTATGTTTGGGGAAAATCCAATACAACACATTACTGAGTACCTCTCTCCATATTTTCAAGCATAGTGGTGGCTGCATCATGTCATGGGTATGCTGGTAATCGTGGGGTGTTTTCCAGGATAAAAAGTAACGGAATGGAGCTAAACACAGCCAAAACCTAGATGAAAACCTGGTTCAGTCTGCTTTCCACCAGACACTGGGATATGAATTCACCTTTCAGCAGGACAATAACCTAAAACACCAGGTCAAATCTACACTAGAGTTGCTTACCAAGAAGACTGAATGTTCCCGAGTAACAGTTTTGACTTAAATCTGCTTGAAAATCTATGGCAAGAATTGAAAATGGTTGTCTAGCAATGATCAACAACCAATTTGACAGAGCATGAAGAATTATGAAAATAATAAAAATGGGTAAATGTTGTACAATCCAGGTGTGCAAAGCTCTTACAGACTTATCCAGAAAGACTCAAAGCTGTAATCTCTGCCAAAGGTGATTCTAACAAGTATGGACTCAGAGATGTGAATACTTATTTGTAAATGTCTAAAAACATGTTTTCACTTTGTCATTATGGGGTATTGTGTGTAGATGGGTGAGACATTTTTTTTTTAAATCCATTTTGAATTCAGGCTGTAACACAACAAAATGTGGAATAAGTCAAGGGGTGTGAATACTTTCTGAGGGCACTGTATATCCAGCTCAGGGCTCCGGCTATGCATTTGGTTTGCTAACTTGCTAGCTAAGTGGCTAGATGGCAAGATCAGGCTTCTTGGTTACAGCAGATACATTCAATCCCCTCCTGAATCAAGATCCATGTTGCCTAAATTGTTTTGCGCTTATTTTATTTTTATAACACCCCTTGTGTGCACATTCAGTAATATCTTATAACCCGGTATGGTACAGAAACAATATGATGGTTTGAAAATATGGATACTGTCCAACTCTAGTCCACACACACCAAAACACATACACACGTCTGAGACCACCCACCTGTAGCATTGCCCATCCTCTGGATGAAGGAGAGGGAGAAGGGCATGGGCCGGTTCATCTTGAGGAAGAAACACGCAGGCAGGTCCACACAGTTGGAGTTGGTCACAGAGGAGAAGGAGGGGGTTCTGCAACAGAGAGAGGAGACACACAATCTCAGCATTATCCATTTATTTCCCACAACTAAATAACTACTTATTACCCATTTATTATTAACCATTAATAAAAGTAACTGATGTATTTTATTCACCAAAAAAAACGATTTAATGCCCACCTATATCTTTGCTCTATAACTGAAACTTAAATTGAATGTCTGATATTTGGGAGATGTCTCACCCCTTGTTGTCCACCGGGTGAGATCCCGTGATGAGGGGGGCGATGGGTAGCTTGTAGATCGAGGAGGTCCCCTCCACTGTCACAGATACACTCACACCCAGAGAGCGAGGGACTGTAGAGGAGTTAAGGTAGGGCCATGTGAAGACATGCACAGACGGAGAAACATGGCCAAAGGAGGATAATTTGATCATTTAATTTATAGTCTAGTTCCAAAACCCTCTACAGCTTAAGCCAAGTCAGCAAATCCAGCCAAACAAATTAGACGATTATAAGTTACCAGGTGTATTGCTTGCTATCATTTCAACATTTTTTTATTTATTAAACCATGGCGGAATCAAGAAAATATGTGTTCATCTCTATTTAGGATTAGCCTCAACGAGCGGAAAGCAATGCACTGGCATTCTGCGCAGCACTGTGGCAAGCTTCCTTCGTCCCCTCACCATTTGTGTCGGTGAAGTTGAGCTGCGAGCCTGTCCTTTCCTCGAACACATCGTACGGGGACACGTAGCACTGGAGGGAGACAAGATGGCCCCCGCTCCTGGCTGTCAGCAGGCCAACGCTCCCGTGAAGGATGGTCTCCACCGTGTTAGCGTTGGTGGCTAACCTGCAACACACACAAAATAGAGAGAATTCATTCTGACAGGAGCATATCTTTCTCAAAGGGGAAACAACTCAAAAAGCTCAACTGGGCCATGTTTTTTATTCTGAGGGAGACATTTGCTTTAGATCAGCCACATCAGGGGCATTGTGAAAAGGGAGGTTTTGAGATGCACCTAGACAAACTGCAATGCGTACATACCTGAACATGTGCATCATCTTGGTAAGATCCAGCTCGAGGGATTGAAGTGCCAGGTACATCTTTGTTTTCAGCTTACTGGTGGGAACCGCAATAAAGACAGAAATTAAGTATAACAGCATTTTATGTAATTCCATTCCACAACCACTTATAGTGCTCTAATAGGAACTCACTTGTCTCCAGGAAGCTTGTACAGGTTGACTAGGCCCTTAAGATGTTTGGAGAATTCTTCAAAGTTCTTATCCCTGTAGAGAGGTTGGAAAAAAATTCCAACCAATATGTCATCATGAGAATGAAATGAGAGAAAAAAAAATTAACGCAAAAATGTCAAACTGAATTATCGAAGCATTGACCCCCATGAATGAAAAGCACTTTATTGACACAAGTATTTTACATCCTTTAAATATTTTTGATATAATAATAATAATTACATAATATTTATGTTCCTATTTATTTTATTTTTATCTAAAAAGCATCTCACCTCAGGTGTTGAATCAGCTCCGGACAGCTCTGTAAAGAATAAAAAAAGAAAGAATATAAAAAGAAATACTTTGATAAAATATTTGCCGTAAATCACTTATTTTATAGGTAAAGCATGTCGCACACATGCATTACCATGCCATTGCGTCAGATCTGAAGCTTCTTATGCAAAACGTATCTGCGTATGACTTCTGAAGCAAAACTATCAGTTCAATACATTTCTGGATATTGTTGAATTCTGTGACTATAGAGGGGGAGCTCTGCGGGCAAACCCTTTTTTGTCCGGAAGTAATTTAGCCATTCTTTGTAGTCATTGCGCTCTGCACAGATTATATTTTCTCAAGTTTTCTTGTGTCAACTAACTTGTGACATTCCTGGATTACTCATTATATGAATAAAGTCTGCTTTAATCAACAAATAAGATTATTTTTTTAAAGGTAGCTTAGTGGTTAAGAGCGTTGTGCCAGTAACCGAAAGGTCGCTGGTTCTAATCCCCGAGCCGACTAGGTGAAAAATCTGTCGATGTGCCCTTGAGCAAGGCACTTAACCCTAATTGCTCCTGTAAGTCGCTCTGGATAAGAGCGTCTGCTAAATGACTCAAATGTAAAAGTACAAGACTGTGTACATATCTGTCTGTGTTGGCCAAATCCTTACATATCTGTCTGTGTTGGCCAAATCCTTACATATCCCATCGAGACAAACAGGGAGAGGTCCCAGTTCCAAGAACAGTCAAAAAATGTCCAGCTAACCATACGCCAATGATGCCGGTGGATCTCAAAACTGAACTTGGATCCGCATTAAGTAGCAATGATATTCTTCGCCACCGTCGTCTTACGACAGATATCTCGAACCAGTCATGACTATTCAACAAAACAATAAATAAATGTTCAAGTTTCTTTCCAGCTAATTTCTTAGTTACATGATTGTATAACTGCCGCAGTATTTATGAGGACGAAAAATAGCATAGTTCAGCTAGCCAGCAAGTTTAGCCAGGGAAAACGAGCTCGGCCCTAATTCGCATGTGGGCGCACATGCGCACTAGACTAATTCAGGAGACCGATTGTAGTTTTATGCCTTGATATCAGGAGCTGGAAGCGAAAAGTTTGATTAAACAAATCAGAGACTTAAACGAATAAATCAGATTATATATTTAAGGAGAGCGAATTGATATACTGTACAATCCCGAAATCAGCTGTAACTGTCAACAGTAAAACAAAGCTTAAAACGATGTTTGAGTGAACCCTGAATACAGAAAATGAAGGGAGAAGTTGCTTCCGGACACAATAGACTCCTCCACCTCACCACTCTATAGGGCCTGTACTGATGCATTTGTAGTGTACCATGTAATATATGTAAATATATAATTATGCGATACAGTGCATTCGGAAAGTATTCAGACCCCTTGACTTTTTCCACTTTGTTACGTAACAGCCTTATTGTAAAATTGATTAAATTATTTTTTTCCCCCTCATCAATCTACACACAATACCCCATAATGACAAAGCGAAAACAGGTTTAGACATTTTTGCTAATTTGTTACAAATAAAAACAGAAATAAGTATTCAGACCCTTTCCTATGAGATTTGAAATTGAGCTCAGGTGCATCCTGTTTCTATTGATCATCCTTTAGATGTTTCTACAACTCGACTGGAGCCCACCTGTGGTCAATTCAATTGATTGGACATGATTTGGAAAGGCACTCTGTCTATATAAGGTCCCACAGTTGACAGTGCATGTCAGAGCAAAAACCAAACCATGAGGTCGAAGGAATTGTCTGTAGAGCTCCGAGACAGGATTGTGTCGAGGCACAGATCTGGGGAAGGTTATGAAAAAATGTCTGCAGCATGGAAGGTCCCCAAGAACACAGTGGCCTCCATCATTCTTAAATGAAAGAAGTTTGGAACCACCAAGACTCTTCCTAGAGCTAGCCGCCCGGACAAACTGAGCAATCGGGGAAGAAGGGCCTTGGTTAGGGAGGGCTCCAGAGAGAGCTCCAGAGAGAGCTCCAGAGTTCCTCTGTGGAGATGGGAGAACCTTCCAGAAGGACAACCATCTCTGCAGCACTCCACCAATCAGGCCTTTATGGTAGAGTGTCCAGACGGAAGCCAATCCTCAGTAAAAGGCACGACAGCCCGCTTGGAGTTTGCCAAAAGGCACCTAAAGACTCTCCGACCGTGAGAAACAAGATTCTCTGGTCTGATGAAACCAAGATTGAACTCTTTGGCCTGAATGTCAAGCGTCACGTCTGGAGGAAACCTGGCACCGTCCCTATGGTGAAGCATGGTGGTGGCAGCATCATGCTGTGGGGATGTTTTTCAGCATCAGGGAGACTAGTCAGGATCGAGGGAAACCTGTTTTTGCTTTGTCATTATGGGGTATTGTGTGTAGATTGATGGAGAATTTTTTTAATGTTTAATCCATTTTAGAATAAGGCTGTAACGTAACAATGTGGAAAAAGTCAAGGGGTCTGAATACTTTCCGAATGCACTGTATATCTACAGAAAAAAGACAGATCCTGCTTCTGTTGCCTGTTTTGAGTGTTTGGTTAATAGCCTACTGATTCCATGAGCACCAAGCCTCACCCATAAATTTCATAAATTCAGCTGTTTTTTAAATATTTGCTATGCTGTAATAACGGCTTTACACTTTTTTCTTCTTTTGACCAGCCTCTCTGGTATTATTTATTTATAAGTAATTTAGTGTTGTTTACAATTGTCCGAAGAATTCTACTTATAATAACCCTCCTTTTTATTTGATCTCCTTATTGTTATTATTACTATTATGATCATCACTATAATAATATGTCATTATCATTAGTAGGCTTAGTATAGCAGCCTTGTAAACTACCATCGATATGTAGGCCGAAGAGCGCATTCTGTTTAGGCTTAATACCGTAACTTAGTTAGGCCTATATTTCAATACTTATATAGGCTACTGTATCAATCAATCATTTATTAGTTCATGTCATCACACAGAATATGAGTCATTCATGATGTGAAATGCAATCAAGCATTTTAGCTTTAAAATAAAATAAAGCAACGATTTAATAATTAGCGTAATCAATAAATAGGCCTAAACCGTTCCATTTTGGAAATTACATTCACGAATGAATGCGACTGTTTTTAGTCTTTGCTGTAATAAAGGTTTTACAAAAAAAACGTTACAACAGACTCTCTGGTACACTTATAATGTATTTAGTGTTGTTTACATTGTTCCAAACGGTCAGAAAAATTATATTGTAATATAACAGCACCTGTTAGGCACACATAAGCCAAATATGCACACAGCACCTGCTCCATACCTTAAATTTCTTGATCTCCATTATTTTCCACAACTAGTCAAATGACTTCCCCTTTACCTTGTGTGCAAATAGTAAACATTCCCCCGTTTCGAGTTTATTTGTCACATCCATTTTGCTGTCACGTGTTACGGTGTTCAGAGTTTGTTATAACCAATTTATTGATGTGATTATGATATACTATAGGTCAGGCCCTATTGGTCACATGCATTCATTTTCCCAAACAAATGAATGATTTCAGTAACAGAACTTTTCAGTCAGAAATGGCTGTAATTATGTTGCAGCTTCTGCAACATGGACAGCATTATACACACAGATGTTCTGTGGTGGTTGCTGCAGCAGGGAGGAGAGAGAGACAACGGGTGCTAGTAAGAGTCACTATGCGTCTTTTTTCTTTAACACAGCAAGTCTGAACCAGGCGGCACAATCAAATCAATTGCGGTCGGACTCCCTCTAATCATTTTTGTGTCTTAATTATTTCAGCAAACAGTTCGCTTAAAGCATCAGACAAGCTAAATGCGTATAGTTGATTTGATTGAAACACATAGGATGGGTCTATATAAATACACGTTTCAAATTGTGGTTGAAAGAACAGACGACTCTTGGTCGATCAAGATTTTTTGGGGTCAGGGACAGTCGTAATAAGCATACAGAGTATTAGTGCTGTAGGTAGGGGATAGTACTGACCGCTGGGTTCTCTCCGTGGTGGGCCACCTTCACATCCACCAGCTGACCAGCCGTGTCCAGCTGCACCTCCACGTAGAACATGTCTGAGGTGATGTAACACTCTGTCCCCGAGGGACTCAGATGGGACCCCAGCCTGGTGGGAGAGGACGAAGATGGTGGGGGTAGAGAGAAAGAAAGGGAGGCAAATCAGACTCAATGTGTCTAACCATGTCCTCCTCAAGCAATGAATTTCTTGTTCCAAGTTTGGAAATACCATTGTACAGCCAGGAATGTACTATACAACAGATATACACCACATAAACACACACACACTTAATAAAATACACATGGTTATGCTATCAATGGTATGAATAAGGAATCAGTGGATGAGTGACCTTGTGATATAAGGGAAGGAAGTAAGCGAGTGAGACAAGAAGAAAGGAAGAGCTTACATGTTCTGTCGAGCGATGGACTCCAAGCGACCTGTCATGGAGGGCAGGGACGACACTAGAGCCGAGAGAGACACATTTTTAAAAAAACTCAGCAGATTGTCTTTCAACTGTCAAGAAACTGAAGACACAGGAGCGATTGTTATTGGCATCCCACGAGAAAGTCAAACTATTTTAGGAAAATAATTTGATTTGAAGCAATAAAAAAAAGGCCACTTTTATTGTAGAAGTGTCTGTTGAACCCTTTAAATGAATAGGACAGGTTCTTTGTGATCAATAAAGAGAGACAAGTCTCTCTTTGGGGTCTCTCTCTTTTTCATGGTCTCACCTTTCAGTGCTTTCTGCAGGGTCTCCAGGCAGGTGAGCAGGAGCTGGTGTCCAGCCGCATTCATCTGACCACGTTTCTCCTGTGACAGAAGAAACGAGAGGGGGAAGGTTTAGAGGAGAGTAAAGATTTTACTGTATGTATATTTGGGTTTACCCCAATTAAGTTATATTGACTGAAACGTTGGTTTAAGATCCATTAATCACATTGTAGCGCATGCAATAATGCCAGTGTCTCTTTTTCCACCTGTATGATTCTTCCATAGGCTATAAGGTGTGCGACCGGACCAATGGTGTGCGACCAGACCCTCTTTTATAACTCTATATATTTAACATTCCATCCTTTCCTCTTTTTCTATTATCTCATTCACACATTCTCACCATGGCCTGGCGCACCACTTTGCTGGTCTCCTGCCAAGGCCGTGAGGCGTTGTGTTTGGCATGGAGTCTCTCCAACAGAGCGTTCACGCGACTCTGCTTCTCGGCTTCTGTGAATAAACAAGGTACACAATGGAGCGAGATTGCAAGGTGCATTACATTCAATTTGAACTATAGCACTTCAGTGTTCAATGACTGACATTCCATGAGAACAATATAAGCTACTTTTAATAACATCATAATTACATAGCTAGCTAGCTACATACTTTGTTTACATTGTGTTCTACACAAAATATAAACACATTGCAATTAATGGAGTAGGCTTAGCTTTGATGCAACCAAGAGAGTTTTCACATTGTGCTCTCAAGAGGATCCAGCACAATGTAAAAATGTTGCATCGAAGTTAGAGTAGGCTATGTAATAAATCCTTTTTGGGGGGATGATGCAGATACATGCATGACTCTCAACGGGGGTTGTGTTGCTCACTAGGTCAACTGGCTTGGACTTGATTGACTACAACGTAGCTAGTACAACAAAGTGGCTTGGTAGCTAATGTCAGATTAACTAATTAATGTGCATTTAATATAGTTGGCAGTAACAGTAAATTGTATTTAAATACAAATTGCACTTAGAGAAACATAATGATGTATTAGCTAGCTAGCATGATAGCTACAATGCTGGCTAGGTAGCTAATATAACTCACGAATAGCCTAGCTAGCATTAGCCTACTCTCAGCTTGTTGTGACTGATCTGACAACCAATATCTGACCCTAGCGTTACAACTTAGCTCCGATCGCACAGATATGATACAACTCACCTGTCCCTTCTTCAGATTTTACCCGATCTGCAAGCGCCTGGTTCCCCCCAGATTGTGTTGAAAGGGTGAGTTCTCTTGCTGGGTTTGGGCTACTGCCCTGCATAGAAACCGCCGCCATCTTCGCTAGCTAGCTTCTTTTTGCTAGCTACTCTGTCGCTTCGCACTGGACTTCCGTAGTTGGTGGGATGTCGAAGCCAAAGATTTTATAACTAACCCCAAGATAGACCACAACCTGCCGTTTCCAATGGAGCAAATTAATCAATGGGAAGAATAAGTAAGAAGGTGGGCAGAGCCAAGCACTAGCTAGCGAGATCCTATTGGCGCGTTGTAGCATGTTTTTGTGCGCGTGTGCAATAACTAAATTCGCCCTTGCACTCCTAAAAAACGCAACAACTAAAAAAAAACTTTGGCAAAGGTAAAATCTACAAAACTTAGTCCACTCTGTTCGTAACAGATTTTAGTTTTGGGAACAGAAAACTGTATTGAGATAATTGAGCTTCTTCTCATCACCATATTTAGTGGTGAGTGGAAACGCCAACCGGATGCTTCAGATGTATATATTCTGTGAAACATCTGGCTCATTGTTCTATCTGTGTCGTAGCTCTCGTGGTTCAAATCAAATCATCAAATTGTATTTGTCACATTCGACGAATGCAACTGGTGTAGACTTGACCATGAAATGCTTGCTTACGAGCCCTTCCCAACGATGCAGAGTTAAAAAATAAAAACACATTTAAAAAAAGTAGTAACACGAGGAATAAAATAAAATAGGCTACACAAGAATGGAGCTATAGACAGGGAGTACCAGATCACTGTGAGAGGTAGGAGGTATTTGAGGTAGATATGTACATGAAGGCAGGGTAAAGTGACTAGGCATCACGATAGATAATAATAATAAGAGGAAAATAAAGAACAGAGTATCCGCAGCAAATTATGACTGTAAACGTGTGTGTGAGTGTGCATGTGTGTGTTTGTGTTGTGTTGATATGCGTGTGTATGTGAATGTGTGTGGGTTTTGTGTGGGAGTTTCAGTATAGTGTGTGAGTGTGTATATGGTGTGTCTATTCTAGTGAGTGTGCGGAAGGTCAGTGCAAGATAGAGTCTGTGCTGCTAGTTTGGGTACCATTAATTAACTATTTAGCAGTCTGGGCTATTTTGCAGTCTTATGGCTTGGGGGTAGAAGCTGTTTCGGAGCCTGTTGGTCCGAGAGCTGACGCTCCGGAGTTGACGCTCTGGTCCGTTTGCCGGTAGCAGAGTGAACAGGCTATGGCTTGGGTGGCTGGAGTCTTTGGAAATTTTTCGGGCCTTCCTCTGACACCGCCGGATATAGAGGTCCTGGATGGCAGGGAGCATTTGCTATAACAAGCGTTGATGCAGCCAGTCAAGATGCTCTCGTCTTGGTGGTGCAGCTGTTTAACTTTTTGAGGATCCAAGGACCCATGACAAATCAGCCTCCTGAGGGGGAAGAGGCAGTGCCGTGCCCTCTTGTGCGGGGGTGTGTGGACCATGTTAAGTACTTAGTGATGTGGACGCTAAGGAACTTGAAGCTCTCGACCGCTCCACAACAGCCCAGTCGATGTGGATGGGGGTGTGCTCTCCCCTCTTTTTCCTCTAGTCCACGTCCAGCTCTTTGGTCTTACTGACGTTGAGGGAGAGGTTGTGGTCCTGGCACCACACTGATAAGTCTCTGACCACCTCCCTGTAGGCCACATGTGTCAAACTCATTCCACGGAGGGCAGAGTATCTGCGGGTTTTCGCTCCTCCCTTGTACTTCATTGATGAATTAAGGTCACTAATTAGTAAATAACTGCCCTCACCTGGTTGTCTAGGTCTTCATTAAAAGGAAAAACCAAAAACTTGCAGACATTAGGTCCTCCATGGAATGAGTTGGACACCACTGCTGAAGGCTGACTCATCACCGTCGGTTATCAGGCCTACCACCGTTGTGTTGTCAGCTAACTTGATTTACATTTTAGTCATTTAGCAGACGCTCTTATCCAGAGCGACTTACAGGAGCAATTAGGGTTAAGTACCTTGCTCAAGGGCACATCAACAGATTTTTCACCTAGTCGGCTCGGAGATTAGAACCAGCGACCTTTCGGTTACTGGCACAACGCTCTTAACCACTAAGCCACCTGCCGCCCCAGTATAGTGTGTGATGGTGTTGGAGTCGTGCGTAGCCACGCAGTCGTGGGTGAACAGAGAGTACAGGAGGGGACTAAGCGGACCCCCGTGTTGAGGGTCAGCGTGGCGGAGGTGTTGTTGCCTACCCTCACTACCTGGGGCCGGCCCGTCAGGAAGTCCAGGATCCAGTTGCAGAGGGAGTGGTTCAGTCCCAGGTTGGAAGACTTGTTTAGCCGAATTGGTCCTAAGACTAAGTAATAGCCACAAAGTTAAAAACACAGTAGGGTCACTGAAGTATCACCTTATATGAAATATAAATGCAACCAAAATCTCACCAGCCGAGTGAAACAGAAGTGTAGGTTTTCTACAGAGTAATGACTATGTATGAACACCAGAGGGCGACCTTAGCAAGCAATCTCTTGGATTATTATTATTATTCTTTTCTTTCTTTACTTTTTTTCCTCTTTCAATTTCCATTAATTATGATTCTGACTAGGTGGAATACAGCTACGACCGGAAGTTACTTTTTCGTAGCAGGTTAGGATAACTTACGCAGCAGGTTAGGATAATTAACATAACAGTTTAGGAGATTGCGGTTAAGGTTAGGAAAAGGGTTAGGGTTAGGGTTGGATAACTGCCCCCCTAACCTGCTACGAAAAGTTGTAGCTGTACTCCATCTAGTCACAACCATTAATTAAGAGACAATATATTTGAGGTGTTTTGCAGCTACTTTTAGTTAACAAACTGCCATATTTGAAACAGAAACACATTTCTTAGAAATTAAACTGAAGCAATGAACCCAAAAACATATAAAACAGCAAGGGCTAAGATTTTTATAATCAGAGGCCCAAAATCTGAGCCCCCCACCCACCGTCCCCCGCCCCCCTCTCACAACTCTCTCTCTCTCTCTCTCTCTCTCTCTCTCTCTCTCTCACAGAAACACACACACCTGAGACTCGCTGGACAGCTGAGCCTACGGCAATGGGGGGTCTCTAGAGAGATTTTCCCACCAACCATCATAACCTGTTTAAGGGAGTGCAGTACTGTGAGTGGTGCTTCATGTCTCTGTGTGTGTTTTGTGTGTGTGTGTGTGTGTTTGTTGGTGTGAGGGGGGATTAAGTGTTGTGATATTGTGATATATGGTTAGACACCGATCAGCAACAGCAAAAGACAACTGAAAATGGGCAGCAGCAAACGGAGACAAAGAAAAGGAAAGATAAGACAACGAGAGAGAGAGAGAGAGAGAGAGAGAGAGAGAGAGAGAGAGAGAGAGAGATGCACACACAGAGAGAAGAACAGAGAAGAGAACAGATTGGGATAGTCCGAGACAGTAGACAGAAGACAGACAGACTGAGGAGGAGGGGATGTGCAGTGCTTGTAATTGATGTGCCCACCAGGAGCTAGCTGGCTGGCTGGCAGGGGGATGGGGGAGGAAGGAGGGAGGGGAGAGATGGGCACCGGTGCCAAGACAGCAGCGGGATAAAGGGAGGCCTGGGCCTTGGGGAGCGGGCCGCTGCACCACGCGGGCAGACTGGTCTGAAACCGTGCCATCAATCAGGGGGTAGTTCACCCTGCCATGCCAGCGGGGACCCCCCTCTGAGCTGATGGGTAGAGGGGCTAAGGCTGGCGCAGTTGGTAAGCCCTCCCTAAACCTCCTAGTCAATGTATCACTGCCACCGAGTAGTGTGGCAAGTGGGCATGCAGGCAGAGAGTGGGTACAGTACGGGAGTCAGCGATCCATCGCCATTTTGAGACAATGTCCCATTTGTTGTCATCCTCGCCGTTTGTTTTTGATACTGTAGAGGAGCATAGACAAGGGGATAAAATGGAGACCTTTTATTGTTAATACTCCAGCTGTAGAAATGCCTTTTTCACGACTTTGCAGTAACATCAGCAATTCTATCCTATTGCTTTTGTTTTGCGGTAGGCCTATAATTTTTCTAGCCCCAGGTAATTACAATGTAGTGTTCTGTTCTCGGTTTATTTTATTTATTTTGTACAGAATAGTATGTATTGCTATGTACTAGTAAGTACCCGTGTGAGCTGAGAAGCCGGTCAGCAATCTTTCAATGAGCCGAATTTGCATACATTTCAGAAAATAAGAATATGATTCATCTGGATAAATAAAGGTCAAATAATGATTGATGGATAAATACATTGAGCAAGTCATTGACATTTTTCAAACGTGAAGATGTAGAGCTTTCTTTGGATGGTGAGGCACAACACTCTCAATTGAGTAGTGGTTCCCAACTGGTGTGCTGCAGCACACTGGTGTGCCTTGAGGAACTCTCATGTGTGCCTTGACACTTTTCCTAATCTTGATTTATTTTCTAACACTCACTTATAAACGTGACCTGTGGAATGCACATAGAATTTTGACTTGGGAGCACTAGTGCTGGTCAGATAATACATGAAATGGCACATGGTTGCAACTGTAGGCCTATCATTGTTTAATGTCCAGTGCGCTCAGGCTGTTACATTTGTATCATTTGAGGGGCGCGCATCACGAGCAAAGTCATTTGTATCATTTTATTTCAGTCTGTGAAAACTATTATTACAGGCAAGTCTGATTAGGCTTAGCCAGAGTCATTTAAATGGGATAGGTTGACCGTGTACTGTTTAAGGGAGTGTGCAGTACTTATACTGAACAAAAATATAAAGTGTTGATCCCAGAAATCTTCCATACGCACAAAAAGCGTATTTCTCTCAAATTTTGTGCAAAAATGTGTTTGCATCCCTGTAAGTGAGCGTTTCTCCTTTGCCAAGATAATCCATCCACTTGACAGTTGTGGCATATCAAGAATCTGATTAAACAGCATGATCATTACACAGGTGCTGGGGACAATAAAATGGCACTCTAAAATGTGCAGGTTTGTCACACAACACAGATGTCTCAAATTTTGCCCTGCCTGCTGCCTCCCGGCCCAAAAGAACGTTGACTACGACGTGTGGTGTATTGTCCCTTCGTGCCACCAGAGTGGCACTGTCACTGTCCTCCTCCGCTC